ATAAAAGTGACCTATTATGTCAGCACATTAAAGTCTAACATGCTGTTAAAATGTCGTTTCTCTCCTCAGTTAAACACAATACTGACCGGAGTCTCAGCAAGGTTTTTGTAGTAACTGATAAACTGATTTTAAAATTCATGAAGTCACTGAGAGTCTAGACTATCCAAAGTAACTTGGCAGTGTTGGAGCACTTACACTAACTGATTTCAACACTGACCACCAGCCTTTGAGAGAGACAGCCATGGAGCTCAATGGGCCAGAATGGGGTCTAGAAATACACTCACTCACACACCTGCATCACCCACTGATTCTTCAGTAAAGCTAATTTCTTTATCCATTTTCTGTTGCTAAAATGAAATGCTTGAGGCTGGGTACCTTATGTAAAAGAAGTCAACTAAACTCACCATTTTAGGGCTAGAAGTGTAAACAGCATGGTTCTGGTGAAGATATCACAGGACAGAGTGGGTGTGGAGAGTTTACATGGGAAGACAGGAAGTGAAACAAAGGGTGAGGACCGGTCTTAATCCTTTATTGCAAACCGCAGTCATGGGAAGTAAGTAGTTTCCACGCAATGAGTGCAATTGTCATCCTCCAGAAGACAAACGCCCTTAGTGACTATTACCTCATACTAGGTCCCATCTCTTAAAGGTCCCACTAGCCCCAACATTTACACACTGAGAACCAATCACCTAATATACAAACCTGTTCTGAAGAGAAAGGAGAAACTTTTCAGTGCTGGAGTGATGGACAGCCATATTTAAAGGTGAACTTAGATCCCACCTTGTATCATTTACAACTAACTCCAAATTAGTCACAAGTCTACAACAACTTGCATTAAAAACATTTTAATTTGATGGATTTTCTTTTGGTTTGTTTGTTTGTTGAGACAGGGTCTTTCTACATAGCTCTGGATGTCCTAGAACTCACTATGTAGACCAGGCTGGCCTAGAATGTGCAGAGATCCACCTGCCTCCTGCCTCTGCCTCTTAAGTGCTGGGATCAAAAGCATGCACCACCATGCCCAGTGTGATAAATATTCTTAAACAGATTGTAAAACTACAAACTATAGAAGAAAATAATACACCAGGCCCTTAAGAAAGTAAAAAAGTTTTGGTTTTTCAAAACAAAATGTTACAAAAACAAAAAGACAAAACACAAGGTTGGAGAAAGGATTTTCAACACAGATCCAGCATACGACTTGTAGCTAATGTTAAGAACATTTATAGTTCAACAGTAAACCTATCTTATTGTGTTAGTATTGTTGAAACCTGACTGGGATGCTAATATTCTTCTATGGAGTTGTCCATAGAGAATATGAAAAAAAGAATCTTTATTCTGTCTTCAGTCAGCAGGACTGAAGATCAACTCTCTACTAAATTTAATGTTCCCAAAATAAAATAGAAACAAAATTTTCACTCTTATATATCAAGCCATCTTCTTAATTATTGACAGTGAATAAATGATGAAATATCAATAACTGAGTAATTATTCAGGTAATACTTATTGGTACTGAGAGTTCTGGTACATCCCTTTTTGAAAGTATGGTGGCATGGGGCACTGAAGGAACTGGCCATGGTGGGCTGTTGTGGTAGTTAGGAGCTTGTACCCTCAACTGTCCAAAGTGCAGTCCCGAAACCTGCTTGAAGAGAAGTAGTTGGGTATATTCAAACAGTCCTCTCTAAAATATTCTCCCATAGTTTCACATGTAATAAGTCTTGGGAGATAATTAGATACAGAAACAAGCTTCAGGTCTTAAGGTTTCTGTCAAATACTTTGGGATATCATTCATCCATTCATTTACTCATTCATTCATTCACTCCTTCAACCAATACAGAATTTATCAAGTACCTATTTTCGTAACTTACACGGTTTGTATTAGTTGTTTCTCTGCTGCTGTGATGAAACACCACGACCAAGGCAATTTAAGGAAGAAAGAATTTATTATGGCTTACGGTTTCAGAGGAAGCAGAGTCCACTGTGGTGTGGAAGTGTGGCAGCGAGCAGCGGGGAATGGCAGCAGGAACAGGAAGCTGAGAGCTCACATCTTAACCTGAAGCACAAAGGAACTGAAAGTGGGAGTGAAGCTTTGATCTCTCGAAGTCTGCTGCTAGTGATGTACTTCTTCCTCCAAACCCCCCCCCAGTGATGCACTTCCCCTAAAGCCCAACCCCCAGTGATGTACTTCCGCCAAAGCCTGCCCCCTGTGATGCACTTCCTCCAAAGCCTGCCCCCGACAGTGATGCACTTCCTCCATAGCCCGCCCCCTGTGGTATACTTCCTCCAAAGCCTGAACCCCAGTGATGTACTTCCTCCAAAGCCTGCCCCCCAGTGATGCACTTCCTCCACAGCCCGCCCCCGCCCCCAGTGATGCACTTCCCCCAAAGCCTGCCCCCAACAGTGATGCACTTCCTCCACAGCCCGCCCTCACCCCCAGTGATGCACTTCCTCCACAGCCCGCCCCCACCCCAGTGATGCACTTCCTTTATCAAGGCTACACCTCCCTTAACCTCTCCGAGCAGTACCACCAGAGGGTATCAAGTACTCAAATGCCTGCACCTATTGGGGGAACACTTCTCATTCAGACCACCACACTGTTCTGGGTGCTAGAAACACAGCTGTGTATCAAACAGACAAAGTCTCTGCTTTCATCTAACTTATATCCAGAGAATATGTATAACTTGTAGCCCAAATATCATTACTCCTTTACAAAATGTTTTATCAACTCTCATGTTACTTTTTCCCTAGCCATAAGAGTAATCCTTTTTTTTAATGTATTTTATTTTTAATTCTGTATGTATACACACACGCACACGCAAAGACACAAATGTGTGCACAGTTGTCTGTGGAGGCTAGAAGAGATATCAGATCCCCTGCAGGTGGAGTTACAGGTAGTCATGAGTCACTCGTGTAGGTGCTAGGAACCAAACTCTGTGAGGGCAGTACATACCCTTAACTGCCAGTCATTTCTTCAACCCCTGTAAGAGTGACCTTTGATTACTGGGAACAAATACAGGCATGGTACAAAAATGAAGACACTTTTGTAATCCTAACCATTGGTATATTTCCTATGATAGATATAATTATGCTTTTAAAGACAGTTTTAAAACAATTTAAATTGGATTGCTCTGCTGTGGGATGGTCTTTCTGTATGCTGTAAATGTGTGTTGCTCTCATTGGCTGATAATAAAGCTGTTTTGGCCAATAGCCAGGCAGGATAAGGTTAGTGAAAAATTAAGCTGAGGACTGGGTTGAAGAGGGTGGATCAGGCAGACACAAGCCAGATGCCCAAGGAGCAAGATGCCAAAGGACCTGTAAGCCACAGGCCATGTGGCGATGCATAGATGAATAGAAATGGGTTAATTTAAATGTAAGAACTAGTGAGAAATAAGCCTGAGCCATCGGCCAAACATTTATAGTTAATATAAGCCTCTGATTGATTATTTGGAAGTGGCTGCAGGACAGGGTGGGACAGAGAAAAGCCTCTGTTTACAAATCGCACCCAACGTGGGGCACGTACATCCACATAAACCCTGAGAACGCTTTACAAAAGGGATTCTAGACACACAAAAGTGGAGCCAAGAGCAGCTTCACAGTTCATGTCTCTCGTGTGGGCCATGGTATAGAGACTTGTCCCCTGGCTGGAGCAGCATGCAGCTTGAGCTACAGCATGGCGGATTCCCACGATCTCACACATGCCGTGGTTCAGAGCACACAGTGGGTTAGGGTTTCTGCTTATACAGACAGAAAGGGTTAAAGATACACAATAAGAACAGATTCAGATGGGGGAAAAACTCTAAATGGGTTGTAATGTGTTTAATAGATACATGTAGGTTTGAGAGGAAAAAAAGAAAGAGTATATACAATCTTAGATTAAAAATATAGATATAAGATAATAAAAATAAAGTCATTTAAAAGAGGAATAAAGTAATATAAATAAAATGAGCCATGTGAGGATGGAAAATGCAGAGTCTGGATTATGTGTATTATTGTATTGTCTTTAAAATCTTTGACTACTATGAGACATTTGATTATGAAAGCTGCTGGATTAAACCAACCTATATATTTAAAAAATATCTTGACTCCAAAATTTTAGTCAAAAGATATGCCACTTTTGAGGGAGAGGTTGTGTTTTTTGTTTCTACAAAAAATGAGAGACTATGGATTCCTTCTGGGTTAAAGAAAATAAAGTTTGTTGGAGGAAGATCCCTGAAATCCTGACTACAGACATGGGAAAATAAACCTAAAGTAACTACAAGACATTTAATGTATGTTTTACCTGCTCAGACATAAAACAAAAGACTATCCTTGATTGGCTTATGTACAATGCACAGTTTATATTTGTATTAATACAAAGATGTATGTTACCTTGAAAAGTTTATATATTTTCAGAACAAGGGGACCAGACATCAATAAAAATGATGGCCCAGATGATCCAGCATTCAAAACAGCTTCAAGGCTACTGACTGAGATGAACAAACCTCACAGAATACTACAGCCAAGACTTAAGAATTATCCTAAATTTTCTCAGGGTTCCAAAAAGATTACCAGTCTAGAGAACTACACCCACATCCCTCCCCCCAAATAGATTATGGATATTTGTCTTTGTTTAGAGGGTTAGTTATAAATTGTTATTGGTCATAGTTGATCTTTCTAAAGAAGAAAGGGGGATCTGACATAGAAAAGATGGGAAAAAGGGTAGATTAATAAGATGGGGCAAAAGGGTAGATTATTAAATTATTATGTTTATGCAGCTCAATTAAAAATGTAATATATAATTAAAAAATATAGATTAATAATCAACTGAGTTATATCCTCAGTGCCCCTCCACTCTTTTAACATGTTATTTGAGGACAGTGTCCCAGGCTGGCTTTGATCTTGCATTTCGTCTGCACCCTGCCTCCCAAGAAGCTGAGATGACAGGTCGGTGCCACCCACCTTGGCTTTATTATGAGATCTTACATTAAAATAAAACGATTTATGTAAAACACATGAAATTCAAATACATGCATCCATTTTTATTAAAGGAAGAGTTTACACTTGCCATCAAGGTGGAGGGGAGAAGCTGCAAACACCGTCTCCTTTGCAGACGAGGCTCTTGGGGCATTGACTAAGACGACTGTGCAGCTGAACCAGCACCTGTGAGGAGAGAAGGCAGGCGGGTGTGAGCAACCTGACTGAGCAACCGTGTAGGCTGGAATGTGGAATCCCACACCTTGAACTGATTCTGTGGAGAACTCTGAAGCTCCAGAATGGAGTGAGAATGGTAATTCTTAGTCCCAGGATAGGCTTGGGTCTCCTTCAGCTAAGAACACCGGCGTTTGTGGTGACAATGTGCACCCCAATAAAGCTTACCTGGTGTAGCTAGAGTTTTTATCTTCAGGTCCCGCCAAGCCCCCGCAGCCCCATAGCCCACTTATAAAATAAACATACAGATGCTTATACTATTTACACTGCTCAGCCATTAGCTCAGGCCTACCATTGCCTAACTCTTACTCTTATACTCAGCCTATTTCTGTTCATCTATATGTTTCCATGTGTTCTGTGGCTTTACCTGCTGCCTTTACAAGCTGCTCCCTGGATGGCGGGATGGTGTTTCCTCCTCTCTGCCTTCCTGTTCTCTCAATTCTCCTCTCTGCTAGTTGCACCTATCCTATACTTCCTGCCTGGCTACTGGCCAATCAGCGTTTTATTTATTCACAACATACAGGACATCCCACAGCAACCTGGGGATCAGAGGACAGAGCCATCCACTAAATTAGACATAGAGGTCAGGCAGTGGTGCCAGAAACCTTTAATCCTATCACTCAGGGGGCAGAGATCCATCTGGTCTCTGTGAGTTCAAGGCCACACTGGGCTACATGAGAGAAACAGAGCCAGGCAGTGGTGACACACGCCTTTAATCCCAGGACGTGACATGGTAGGACACGGAAAGGTGTATAAGACATGGGGAAACAGGAACTCGCTCTCTTGAGGCTCAGGATTTTGTAGAAGTAAGCTAGTGGCTGGCTATTCTGCTTCTCTGATCTTTCACAATAAGTCACAGAGGGGACATTTGGCGTACACAACATATCACCACACGCATTCCTGGGGCTGGAAAGATGCTCGGAAGCTAAGAGCACTGGCTGCTCCTCCAGAGCATCGTGTTCATTTCCCAGCTCCGACACGGCAGTTCACAACCTTCTATAACTCCAGTAGTCCTAGGGGATCTGGTACCTCTTCTGGCCTCTTCACATATTGCGTGTACATGGTATACAGACAACACTCATATACGTAAAAATAAAATCTAACAATTAAAAAAAAAAACCTGCGTTATGGACGGGAATATTGATGCTGCTGCTTTATTGAATTTTGAGCCTTATAAAAATGGTTTGTACTGTGTGTGTTGTTTTTGTTTGATAATATGACTGTCAATCATTCCTGCTGCTTCCTCCCATCTCACCCGACCATTTGCATTTACTCACGCTGCTGCAGATGCTGGCTAGTGTGAACAGTGACATGGTGCATATTCTCATGTACACGTACATTTACCCGCTATATATTAAGAAAGCGATCATAGACTATGCATATATTCTGCTTTATTAAACACTGAGTCCCATACCCCTAAAGTAGTTGCACAAATCTATATTCCCGTCATCAGTATAAATAGATTTAGTTTTAGTTATTTATAGTTCTGTAAGACAAGCTCTCACTGTGTGGCCAGGCTAGCTTGGCACTCACTTTATAGCCCAGGCTAGCCTGGAATTCACAGCAATTCTTTTTCCTCTGCCTCTTATGTGCTGTGGACAGAGGTGCAGGGTACCATGCCTGACTTGTAGGGGGATGTTAGTTTTTCTAATAAGTTCTCGCTTTTACTGGATTTTAGCCCCTCTGGTGAGTGAGCTCTATGTAGGTTTGATGTACTTTCCTGGTAACTAGTGATGCTGGTTGTCTTTTCATGTACTGATTGGTTGTTTAAATATTCTCTTTTACAAGGACCTAGAGGCCCCTTTTCACTTGGCCTTCTATACTGTTCTTGTGATTTTATTGTGGAAGGTCTTTGTTGCTTCTACGTGCCAGTCTGTCCTTAGCTAGATATATCCTGCAAATGTCCCCTCTGTGGCTTAAATTCGTATTCCCTTATGCAGGGGAGGAAAAAAATAAAATAAAATGAATTTAAAAAATAAAAAAAAAAAAGCCCTCTACAAGTTAACGTCAGTGTTTAGCAGCAGCCAAATCTCCATGGTGGAGCTGCCCTTTTCTCTTTCCCATAGTTTCCAGTTCTTAAAGGAGCATCTACTGACCATTTTAAAACACAGCAAGAGATGTGAGTTGTTTAAGGAAGGTGGTTCATTTAAACACAGGGCAGTGTTTAAACAAGTAACCAATCGGAAGAGGTTCGCAGAGACAAGAAAGTCGCCAAGATCTGTCTTTAAGCTGCGTCTGCTTGCACAAAGATGCTGGTGCCCCCTGGTGGTCAGTGTGAGGTTTACAGCAAATGCAGAAACCATCGGGGTCTCAGTTTTCAAATAACTGAAAAGAGCTTTCAGTTGAAGTAAACCTAGGCTCCCCCTGCGGGTTGAGTTTGGGCCAGACTAGCAGGTATAAGGTAATTACAACATCTAGTAAGATCAGAAGTGGAAAATGGACTTCTCAGAGCTAAACAAATGCCTCCGTGGGAGCAGCACGAGGTGAACTGGGGCGGGGTTAGCTACAAAAGCAGGGACAGGTGTCACTGAAACGCAAATGTAAAACTATTTCCTTCTCTTCCACGGTGCATTTGTTGTTCATCACGGTCTGCTGCTGCTGCTGTTTGTCTTTCTGTTTAACCTCATTCTGCGTAAAGAACGAGTCATCATTAACCACTCTCTCTATACTGCGTTAACACCAGTTTTCAATGCAGGGGTGAGTGTTTGACTCATATGTGAAACCATCAAAAGTCCCTCATTTTTTTCTTTTGAGACAGGGTCTTTCTGTGTAAATCAAGCTGGCCTTTGAACTCACAGAGATCCACCTACTTCTGCCTCCCGGGTGCTCGGATTAAAGATAGGCACCACCATGCCCGGCTCTCCTTAATTCATTTTTCATGGCTCATGCTATGGACTCCGTTGTTGCTAGAACACTGTGAACAATGCAGGACACTAACTCAGTGGTTTTTACCTCACTTCTTACTATCCACTCCTCGTACCAGGGAGCCATCACCGACGAGGAAAGGAACCGAGGGATCCTCTCTCTCTCTCTCTCTCTCTCTCTCTCTCTCTCTCTCTCTCTCTTGCTCGCTCGCTCGCTCGCTCTCTTTCCATGCCACCTGGAGAGGGGGTGATCAGTGATTAGCCGATTCAGGAAGATAAAACAAATCATACCAGTTGAAGTAAGCTAACCTCCTTGCACATCTTTCCTAGAACACCATTGCCTTCTTCACAGATCCCAGGTCCCAAGCAAGCTCTGGTTCCCGAGGACTGGCAGTGTCACTGGGTCATGAAGAGACCTGAGGCAAATGCTTGCTTTGCGTCCCTGGAGTGCTGTGACCATGGATGCTGTGACACTGTGAACAGAACGGGCAGACGCAGACACGCACAGCTCTCCTGCTTTTTATGGCTACAGAGAGGAGAACATCCGATTAATTTCCTAAGTTAAGTCAAAGGAAACTTTCTTGTTCATCATTCAAAGGGCAGGAAAGCAATGAGTAAAAATCCCACTTGAGAGAGGAGGTACGTGAGCCACACGGTGAATTCTGGTTCTGTCTAGCATCCAGTGACCAAAGTCTGCTTGCTCTGTTGCAACACAGGCAATCTCTGGATGTAGGGCAAAGGTTTCTGACACTACGCAAGGTCACTAGATGGCAGCAATCGGTGATTTGTCAGCTGGCTTCAGAGAGTGGCTTGCAGGCCTTAAGGCGTCCTTATACAACTCAAGCTCCCGGTCATTGGGTTTGAGTGTGTTTGGGAGCCCAGACCACTAACTTCTCTGCTTTGATGAGGTGCAATGTCAGACTCTCACCGGGGGAGGACTGTGCCCTGTGTTTTCACCATACCAGAATGTGTCACCACAGGGCATTTGGAATCCTCTGCAAACTACCTAACCCTCCACCATGCCTGTGGCCTCGTCAATCTAACATAAAGGTGTCTGAAGGTCAACTTTCTGAGAACTTCAACATGGCAACCACAGGGCAGTAAGCAAGCTTTGTGGACTGAGTAAGGAACCTCGTGAAAGCTGCATGGGTCCCAGAGACAGGGTCAGGAGAGACTGGCATCTCATTAAAAACTGAAACAAGAAAAAGGAAAGGGGCAAAGTTCTTGACGGTGCAAACTCAGATAACTCCTAGCGCATTTAGGATGGAGCATTGCAAATGTGGTCTAGAAGAAGAAAAGCATCATTTGGAATTACAGGGCTTTTAGTATAACCAGAATTCTGGCCAGCTTGAGTATGAGCAGGAAAAACAAGCAAACAAAATCTTTAGAGTGCTGGTGGCACACAGCCACGCCAACAGCATGTTATCTCATGTTTTAAAATGTTTTAAAACTAAATTTGAAAGTAGGCTAACAAACCCTGCACTCTAAAGAAAAAACAAAAAGATCTTGATGATCGTGTGAGTGCATGTGCATATGTGTGCCCACCTGTGTGTGTGTGTGTGTGTGTGTGTGTGTGTGTGTGTGTGTGTGGCAAAACTATGAACATCTTGGTTCATCTACCTTAGGACCAAGCTATTGCTTGATTTTTAATTAGTTGCCTTTAGTAACTAACTTAAATGGAGCTGTAAGACCTAGGCTGCCTGAGCCAAAGGTTCTGAAGGACTGTTTCCTAGCAGCCCTATGCTTTCTGTGGGGAGGGACCACACCACCATTTTATCATCATCGTGGGGTGTATCTGCCTGGGCTAACTCCATACAGAAGAGCCAGCCCTACTCACCCAACTCTGGGGCTGGGGCGGATCCTGGACTGTGCACAAAAGCCTGCGGCCATTGTTATTTGACTACACCTTGACTGTGCGAAGCCAGGGCGGTGTCACACATTACTCACACTCACAACCAAAGGGATGGCGTTTTAAAAAGAAAAAAGAAAGAAGGTAAGAAAGAACACACAAAAGAAGAAAGAGGGAGAGAGAGAAAGACAGAGACAGAGACAGAGAGAGACAGAGACAGAGAGAGACAGAGCTCCTTCACCAGACTATTTCAAAGCTGTTTGCTCCATGTCAGTCTTTAAGTTCCCCTAGGAAAACACTTACTGTGGCTTAGGTTACCTTTATGGTATGTTTTTTTTTTTACCCTATCAGTCCAGACTCAAGTGGTACTATTAACTATGGATGGGGACGGTTACAATTTCTCCCTTCCTTCCTTCCTTCCTTCCTTCCTTCCTTCCTTCCTTCCTTCCTTCCTTCCTTCCTTCCTTCCTTCCTTCCTTCCTTTCCTTTCCTCCCTCCCTCCCTCCCTCCCTTTCTCTTTCTTTTTTTTCTTTCTTATTTTGAAAACTCATAGAAAATACATGTAGACAAAATTGGGGACAAGAAAAAACGTCGGAAATGTTTGTTGGTGGCAAATGTATATGTCTGGAGTTTATGCCTTTCTTGCCGTACAGGGCTTTGGGGGAGGCGGTGGGGTGGCAGGGGCTCCGTTTAAGGATGGTTATAGTAACTTCCCCTGGCCTGTGGGTACAGGATGCAGACTCGGACCAGTTGCAGTGAGTGGGTCCGAGCAGCCAGACTCCTTCAAAGGGATGACTCAGCAAGGTCCCTTGATCAGAGACTGATGGCAGCCTGTCTGCCTTTCTGAGCAGAGGATGCACACCACCCTCCTGTATCTGTTTCCAGTCTTAAGGATGGCAAGATTCTTGGGTTTTGGCTGCCCGGAAATGAGACTTTCCTTGTAGTCGACTGTGGTCACGTGACTCGGTTACAGCCAATGAAAGGCCACCCCGCTGTGTCTTTCCCTTTATCTGGCTGTGGGAAAAGCAGACCCAGAGGCACTGTGTGTGAGAAAAGGGACCTTGGTGCGGGGGTGGGGGGTGAGAGACGTGAGTCCCCGGGGACACTGGGGCAGGGCCACCTTTCTGCTCTGTGAGAAATTGTTTGGGCATTTCTGCCGCTTGCAATTACAGCTGATGCATCCTGGTAGGAAGTCCTCGGGACAGGGGCCCATCGGGTAGTCTTCGGTGCAGTGATGCTTTTCTCCTCCCAGCCTCCCAGCACTTCAGAGACCTGTGGAAGCCCTCACAGCGCTGAAAGTGCTTTCCAGAATTCTCTTCCATTCGCATTTACAGATCGATCTCTCGCAGACGGGGTGTGGTCTGTGGGCAAGCATGAGCTGTAACCACGGAGTCTGAAGTCAGTACAGAAGACGGACAATACACAAATATATTAAAAATCTGGACAAGGCGACTAAGGAAATGGCCCCGTTAGGAAGGTTCTTGTGCAAGAATGAGGACCTGCGTTCCGATTCCCGTAACCCACATAAAAAGGCTGTCATGGCTGTCCGCATCTGTGACCCCAGTGCCGGAGACAGAGATCGCGCTCAGAGAGAGATTTTGGAGGCTTGCAGGCCAGCCGGTCTATCTGAACGAGTGGACGTTAGTTTCAGTGAGAAACCTGTTTCCAAAATTAGAGAAGTGACTGGGAAATTAACCCAGTGCTGATGTCAACATACCCAAGCGTGTACCACACACACACACACACACACACACACACACACACACACACACACACACTTGACTAAGGGAAGAACGACAGGTCTAAAGGTGTGGGTAGAGGTCCGGAGAACAAGAGGAAAAATGAGGGACAAGAAAGACCAACTGTTTGTTACATTTTTTCTCTCGTGTGGAATCTAAATTTAACTCTGTGTATAAAACAGGTTAATTTGTGGTGGTGAACATATATAGCATTATATATTCCTACAAGTGTGCGTGGGCTACCAAAGTAGCTTCATTAGTCTTTTTTTGATAGGCAATGCTTACCAGATACCAGAGAATGTTTAACACTACACACACATATATGGTCATGATTTTAAGCAAAGCGTTCATGAAAGAACATTAACTTACCAAGTGAATTACATTCCGGAACTTCTCATTCTTTTGGGTTTGATGATGATGATGATGATGATGATTGGTTTTTCAAGACAGAGTTTCTCTGTGTAGTTTTGGAGCCTGTCCTAGATCTTACTCTGTAGACCAGGCTGGCCTCAAACTCACAGAGATCTGCCTGGCTCTGCCTTCTGAGTGCTGGGATTAAAGGCGTGCGCCACCACCGCCTGGTTTGGGTTTGATTTTTAAATACTCTTCTGCTAAGGTGAACCTATGCTCTGCTCAAGGACTTGATTATCTAAGAGATGTATGTTGAATAGGTACAATTATAGATATCTGATACATTTACATGTTTTCACATACATACACACACACACACACAAAGGAAAGCAGGGGTAACGTGAAAGGGAGGAAAGAACAGCAGGAACAAGGGAGGAGAGCAAAATACAGTGATTATGGGTAACAATGTCAGGATGTTTGTATGATTAGTAAAAAAATAATAGTAAACCTGGGTGTGGTGGCAGAGGCCTTTAATCCCAGAACTCAGGAGATTGAGGTAGGCAGATCTCTGCAAGGTGAAGTCCAGACTGGGGTACAGAGTGAGTTCCAGGCTAGTCAGGGCTACATAGTGATCTCTCTCTCTCTCTCTCTCTCTCTCTCTCTCTCTCTCTCTCTCTCTC